GGGGCCGGGGCCGGGGCTGGGGCCGGGGCCGGGGCCGGACTCGGCCTGGCCGCCCGGGTGCTCCTCATTGAGCCCGCGGGCGAGGCCAGGCGTCTCCCGCCCCCACAGCGCAGACTCGTGGGCGGGAAGGGGCCTCCAGAGGCCGCTACCGCGGCCAGCACCAACCATGTCCAAGCCTCCCCGGCAGCCGATCGTCTGCCCGCGACGTGAGACTAACGTCAGCCGCGACATCGCCCACCCCACGAGTCAAGCAGTTCCTGCTCCTGTAAAGCCTTGTTAACATGCACGCAAGAGGTCGCAGGAGGAGGGCCCCGGCTACCGCCCCTACCAGTCTTACTGTGGGGTAAAATTTCTTGTTGACCCCCAGTACGCCAGTCGGCCTGAACCTGAGCAGATAGTCCCTGCCCCTAAAGCTGCTGGCGGGGGGTTGAAAACAAAAACCATGCTTTACCTGATGAAGCAGTGCGTTAGTTCAACCCTGCTTCACAGCGTCTGCATAGATCAGGCACTTTAGTGGGTGCGCTTTTATCTACAACTGATTCAACCAGCTTTTAGATAACAGTGCCAAAAAGGCCCATTAAGGCGCCCAATCTGTACAGAAGTTGGGGGAGCCGGGTCCAACTAATGTGTTGCCTCTTTTGTGCATGCACTGGGCTCAACGCAGAGGTACACAGAGTTTAAAGTAAAGCACTGATTTTGGGGGGGGAATTACTTCTATAAGCAGCCTAAGTGCATATACTCAAGAGGAGACAGTAGGTGGGTGCTGACCAGTGTGGGAGACAAGGATATAACAAGGCAGCCCTTGGTCCAGGAGCACTCTCAGACTAAGCTTTGTCAAGGTTTTTGTAAGTCCTGAGGAAAAAAGTCTTTTACAATGAGAAGTGACTTTGCGTGTGCTTATGGGCAGGTGCTTACAGGCAGCTCTTCCCAAGTGTAAGGGGCAGCCAAAAGGAACAAAGGGGTGTGTGTCTAATGCAGCCTGAAGTTATGCACCAGGTGGAGTCTGGAGTTGACCTCAGCATTGCATGAGAGCATGGGAAGGATGAGGATCGGTTGGA